AGGAATTGGAAAAAGATGATTAAATTATGTTTACCTCATAAAATTCTTTATCATAATAACAAACAAATTAAGAATTATCTATTCCAAGACCACATAAAAAACAATTATTTGTTTAAGTGAAGGAATAAGAACAGGTAACAAAATTTTAACCCATGCAATTGTTGATTAACCAATCAACATCGTGAATTTGATAACGTAAAAATAAATGTTGGTTTGATAACAATCACTTCACCAACAGTTGTTTCGTTAACAAATGGTTCGAATTTAAGAAGTTGGGAGCAATCATGCGATAAACCTTTGAAATAGTCTAATAAATTAAATCGTACTACTCGAAAATGTTTTTAAAGGGATGGTTTTCGGCTTGATTGAAGAATAACTCTCTTCATAACTCTTCTCTTGACCATATTTTTCGATATAATCAAAATAACCTTAGTATAATGAATGTCGGTAAAATGATTGTAAATACAACCAATATTTAAGATATACGATTGAGACAAAACATGAACAATGTACAAATTTATTTAATAAAAACAAAATTTACAACCTAAAAAATGTTTTTTTTGCATGTTCTAATAAAATTTCCATTGTTGCTATCCATCAATTGCTGATTCAACGTTACCCGGATCATTATCAACTGTATTTTCGATATTTTCAATAAACTCATTTTAGTTTAATCTTTTCGTCCTACTTTCTTTAGTGCGTTGACTTTTTTTGATTTCGACTTGAAGATATCAAACATTTAGATCGGCACCTTTGTAGACAATGATTGTGATACCCATGTCCACACGTGAGCATATACACTACAATTATTCAAATTAGTATAGTTAGTGTAATCACAATATACGTAATTGCAAAAAATGTTTGTAGATGACTTCCTAGAAGTAACAAAGCCTCTTGGAAGGTGACGATTGGTTATTTCGTAAACTAAAGAATACAATTAACACCACCATTAGATGAAGTTTTAGTAATCAAAGGATAGTGGTAGTACCTACCGAATCTAAATAGAATGCAAGGTCGAACTTAAGTTTTGTATTAACATATAAACACCGTTAATCATACAGTCAATTGTTTGTTCATTACGTTCAAATGGCCGAGCTGCTAAATAGAGTTGGTCAAAAAACCCCTTCAAGCTTGGTTTTATTTCTTGGAACAATCTTCGTATTTCATCAAGATCGTATATAGGACCTTCTTTATTTGAACATTCTCTTTCATAAAAGATTTTGGTCATCATTTTCATGCTTGTTTTAACAACGTTTTCAGTTGTTAAATTTTATTTTCTGCTTTTTTTTTTTTTTTTTTATTTCATGTTTGTTTATTTTCAGTTGAAACCTTTTTATCGTTGATATTAGTAACGGCAACATCTATTCATTATAATCAGGATCTTTTACCACTTCTAACTGTTGCTTCTGTTGTTGCTGTTGATAAACGGAGGAAGACAACATCAAACGTGTTTTTGAAGAGAAAGTTGACAAGGAAGAAGATAATGCCGAAGATATCCATGGAATTTGTTGTGGTTGATGATGATGATAATAAACTGTGAAATAATCTTGATTCTATACCCTTCAATCTTTTAGTGATGGAGGCAACTTTTGTGTTCTTTATTTGTGCTGTTGGATGATGATGATAAATTCCTTGGATTTAAGAATGCCTATTTGCAACAATAGCTTTTCGCTTCTCATCAACATACAAACCTTCAGAATCATGAAACGTGACACTTTTTCTTGTAAACTGCTACTGATATCTCCACGTCTTTTTTATCCTTGTCTTCTTTCGAAAGCATTATACACTTGGCGTGAAATCTTAAACATAACTTCATAACCTCTTCGGAAAATGTCATTGCTAGCGGCAAGGATTATTCAGACCATTGATGTGTATGTCGAGTTTGATTGCTTGGTGAACTACTAACTAATAGATAATATGAGAGGGATATAATTAATTCATTGAAATATTATCATTAATGATTGACTACTTGCAGCAAAAAATCTACTTTAATTTTGGCACCTCGCCAGTGACTGTTTCATTAGTTTTTTATGGCGATTTTTACCAATCTGATCATGAATAGAATCGATGACATTATATTTAGATGCAAGCTAGTTGTTTTTTATGTTTGGGTCTTTATTTTTTTCAATGCATATTTCTATTTTTTATGAGATTGTTATAGGCATATGTTTTCTTTTTGATACCTCGACTTCTTTTTCAGTAGATTTTTTTTCCTCTTGTTTGCACTAGAGGAAAACCTACCCTGGTAATTTTTGTACACATGTATTCTATAACTTGTATATTATTATTATTGGCCAATTTTTATTTCACTTCGTTTTATAAAAATTAATCTTTGGTTTATAAAAATTCGAATTAACGGGGCAATTTTACATATAAATGGCTTCAAAAAATTTAAAAATTTCTTTGGTTTATGGTTTATAAAGTTTCATTATTGACATTCATATTAACGGGGTGGTGTTTTAAAAATTATTCATTTAACGGGATTTTCGGATTAACAGGGTTCGGACTAATGGGTTGGCTACGTATACACTAATGCCCATAATTATCATGTAAAAATTGTCTTACCTGATTTGGATACAACTTATAATAAAAAAGCTTATGCTATATCTAAAATAGTCATTGAACTTTATCAGCAAAAAACTTACCAAAATCAGATGTTGCTTCAAATTATGATAATCAAATGCCGTATTTTCTCTATGAAATTTTTAATAAAATGATAAAAATTAAATACTGAATTTTCTTGGAAGTTTGATATAAACGTGACAAAATAATAAAATTTAGATTTTTACCAAAATTTCAGGGAAAATCAAGATTTATATGAACAAAAAATTTAATGTGGAAATAAATATATATACACGAGAGTTTATTCCTATATTACCACTACCACTACCACTACCACTGTCATCTTATTCTTGTTCTACTGCTGTTGTTACTGCTACTGCTACTGCCACTGCTAATGCTACTACCGCTTTTAATTTGCCATTATTATATTTGATGCCATTACATTAGAGAGAGAAAGTTAAATCAAAAAAATTTGCATAAATGTTCTATTTATGAATTGATTATAAGTAATAATATTTATTAAATATTTGTCAGTATATCCATGTCCATTCATCATTAATAAAAACAAGTATTGATAGATAGATATGAATAAGAACGTTATATATACCTGGAGTCTTTCTTAAATTTGTAATATAAACAATAGCCTTTATTCATAATAGAGTAAGAAATTACTTACCTGTAATTAAATTGTATATAAAAATAGTTTAATAATTCCATAAAGAATACCTCTTTAAGTATTGATGTATTAGAGATGCCACATGTTTAAGCAACAATCTATGCTTGATTTTACATCTAATGTTAGAGTCTCATCTACGATTGTATTGGAAGAAAGTTTTTTTTTTAATAAAGCGAAGTTACTATTTAAATTCCTTTGCTTCTAATAGAAATTCGTGAAAATTATTTCATTGAATATTATTATGTATATAATTTTTTAAAACTCATGCTAGAAATTTCCCAAAAATCGTTATGGAGTTATTAAAAAGTTAAAATATTCATTACACGATCCAATGTCAGTTTTTTTATAGTTCTAATGTGAACAATAATAATTTTATTAACATGATTATCCAACTAATCTATTAGCTAATCTAACAATTAATATAATAACGATAACAGTAAAATAGCCATATCTATGGTAGTTTCTTAAGAAGCGGACTAAAGGCATTAATTAATTAGTATTAAAGAAATTTAACTTAAGACTAATTCTACTAATACTATTACATATATTATTATTACACGAAATTAAATTAATATTAATTCTAATTCTAATTCTAATTCCAATTCTAATTCTAATTCCAATTCCAATTCCAATTCTAATCCCAATTCTAATTCTAATTCCAATTCTAATTCTAATACTAACTTTAATTCTAATACTAATACTAATACTAACTTTAATTCTAATCCTAATACTAAATATACTATATTTTTATTTTTAAAATAACTACTGTCACTAAATTTAAATTTAGTCCACTTCACTACCAAACCTTCATCCAGTCTGTACCGTAAGTCTTCTGCCTTCCACACCAAGTAAGTAAAAGAGCTATTGAAAGAAGAAGAAAATGAAATGACAACAAAAATGATAAAGGAGAGGACAATAATGATAAAGGAGAGAATAATAATGAATAAGATAGGATTGATAGTGTTATAACAACGGGTATAACAATATACAATACAAATCAGCAAAGTATCAATAAATTGATAAGTTTTTAATGATCAAAGATAATTAATTACCACAAACTATCTGGATAAAATCACAAACACCAAAACTGCCTTTCCTCATCACTTAGCACTTTGTCTTTGTACTTCCTCTCTAATTAAGAATTTTTCTTATGGCTGTTTTTGAGATTAATGTGCGCCCACACAAATTAAAAGTCGTCCTAACTTCAAAATAAAGGAATATAATGATTAACACTATGTTACAATAAATTGATCAATTATTGTTAAATAAATAATATATTTGATTGATTATTTACCTGACACTTACAAAAGACTAGCATAAACCTCAACAAAGGAAAATAAAAAGCGGTTGGGAAGATGAGAAATCACGAGGATGAAAGTGGAAATTAAAGTGGCAATGGAAGTGGTGATGGAAAAAAGAGAAAGAGTGTGGATGTGGATGTGGATGTGAAGATGGATGTGAAATGGAGATGGGGATGAAAATGAAAGTGGAGATGGGGATGAAAATGAAAGTGGAGATGGGGATGAAAATGAATGAAGATGAAGATAAAAGTGTGTGATAAAATAGAGATGGAGTGGAGATGAAGGTGAAGGTGAAAATGTGTGATAAAATGGAGATGGAGGTGATGAAAGTGTATAAAGTGATATAAAACCGCCTAACAAAATATGTAAATTAGGTTACAATTAATTTCAATATCAAGAGCAAATTATCATTTGATTTCTTCAATTGAGAGGTATACACATACTTTTTATTTTCTGACAACATGCACAAACCAAATCCACTATTTCCAGATAGTATAACTCCATCTGTAATTAGTTAATAATGATAATATTATTATATGTTAATATACTAATTTCAAAAATATTAATTTATTAATAGAACCCATATTTGTTACTAATTTTATACTTACTGCCATTTGGGATAAATAAATGTCTGACCCTTTTATTCTATGGGTAAAGTTTGGTGATGCCTCGCAATAAAACCTCTGGAAGAGGAAGCTGTTTACAGCTTTGTTGGAGACAAATTGAGGAAGTGTAAGTGCTGAGAAAATTTACTTAAGGGCTGAACGCGCGGAAAACAGTTCTTGGCAATAGAGTTGCTCTTTCATTTTACATGACCTTTTATGAAAAATAAGAAAACAAATAAATAATAATAAAATAAAACAGATTTTCTCAATATTTATATATATATATATATTTCTTACAGAATCACCAGAAATGAGTGAAATATTGTTTATCATAACAATAATAAATGATGGAAGGTCTTGCCGTCGAGAGTCTTGAAGTTTCTTGCTGTTGAAAGTGGTCCTAGAGTTTCTTGTTGTGAGAGAAAAACAATAATATTGTTATTTATTATTAATCATAAAATAGGGGTAAAAAGTAAACAATACATTTTTAATAAATCGCCAAGAAAATCATCATTTTTACATCATTAATGATTTAATAATTTTCGCGTTTTTCAAACAAAGAAAACCATTAAGATCCTACCTAACATCTTATTGGCTAATTGATAATAAATATCTTTAATATCTTTAATAAAGCAAGATTTTTGTATTTTTGGTAATGATATTCGTATCCTTACTATCAACTTTACTCTTGGCGTTTTTGGGATCTAAAGCTTCCGGGTCCCCTCTCATTCTTTAGATAAAAACGCGTTATTTATTTGGTATTAAAATAGGATAAGAGAGGGATCCATCATTTTTGGATGACACTTTTTTTTCCAATGAAAATTTATTGAGTCACAAAATATATTATATACTAATAAAGTGGAGGAAGGGGATGGCAAAATTTTGGGCGGGAAATTGTCACGTGAAAGTATATTTTATAAGAGTGTGGTTTGGTCCATACTAATACTGATTTAATTTCGGGAGTCGAAATGGTCATATCACATGATTTATTATAATTAATAATTTCAAAATTATTTATCTTGAGAACCAGTGATCCAAATTTAATAAAACACAGCTCATTAGAATGGTCTCATAAAGACAATTCGAATAATGGTCCACAGCATCAATAAATGGCGAGTTATTGTAAGATTATGGTAAACCAAAATATCTCAATGATCAGTGGTTCTAATTACATCTCATTAGACTTGCCTCATTTAGAGAATCCGAATGATAGTTGTTTTATTCAAAATAGCCAGATATTGACCAAGTTATGAGGATTTGAAGCTTTGATTAATTTTCTGTATGTTCAGCTTGTTGTATGATGTAATTTCAACCATTTCGACTACTTTGATCTCCCAGGTCGAAATATTTCGACTTTTGTAGTTTGGGTTTCAATTTCGACTTCATGTATAGTTTGATCATCACTCTGGTAAAAAATGGGTGTTGTATTAAAAAGATTATATAATTCTCGTGATAAAATTTTATACATTTTAAAAGAGGTAAATAAAAAAAAAAGCTTAATATTAATGTTGATTAATTATCTCTTTAAACGAAATTCCGTTGTAGACGTGAATATAAATTTGAAATTTGAAATTTGCTTTCATAAATCAAAAAGTTACAAAATAATTGTAAAAAACGTTAATTCGTGGTCCGTTGATCAACGATAGTAATAGAAACTCACTAAAATTTAAAAAGTGACAAAAGTTGCATATTATAAAATTTTGTACTTTCGTTATGCAAAGTCACACGAAATCATGCAAGATTTGTAGATAAGAACTTGGTTTTGGGCCGCTGTGGATTCCACGTAAAATACATATATGAATTTTATGAAAAAATTAATAGAATTGCAACATTACAAAAAAAAAAATGTAGCTAGTTTTAATAGTAATTCTCAACTATGTTTATGAATAAATAATGAATTTTATTATTTTAAATTCAAAAAAACTTATTACGAATTATTCATTGTTGTTAATTCAGTCTTGTATGTTGCAGAATAACAAGTTATCCAACTTTGTATAGCATTCATTACCTGTATAAAAAAAACCTTGCAAAATGGTAATTATTTTTTAGAAAATTTTGTCCCGCCTTCATCCTTTTTCAAATCGTCTATAGAAATTATTTAAAATTATTTCAATAAGTTTTTTTTATTGGGTTAATAAGGAAAAATAAATACAATAGCTGATATATCCAGTAGCTTTCAGAAGGTCAATATGCTAGATCTTTATTTAACATGGGTAAAAGATTTTCTCCAGAACAAATTCAAAAAATTATCAAAAGCAAAAGCAACTAAACCTCATCCGCAAACTTTTATTCATGTAACTTTTTACAATATACAGTATATACTTTTACTATTTAGGGAAATTGTTTTCCGATTCAAATTGGCAATACAATGTAAATCAAAAAGTCTATAATGATCATTATTATTATTATATTTCTAAAAATCTGAAAACGGGGTTTTTTTAATTTATACCAATATTATTATTAAAGAATTTTTAATTTAAAATATATTTTTTGATATCCCGGATCTGCATAACAAATTTCTATCATTGATCGCCGGACCACCAATTAAGAATGCTGAAATTACCCGGGAATGTTATATAGATAAACCTGTTGAGTTCAATAATCCAACTTATACCTATCTTAATTTAATTGTTGATCGTGCATTTACTGATCCAAATACAGAAAAAAATTACATTGCATTTGGAGTGACAGTTACATTAAATTATCTAGATCCTTCAAAAGACATCAATTTGGTTCAAAACGAAGTTGTGGAGCGAATAATCCATTTCTTGAAATGATGCAAGTTGCGGAACAAGAAGAACGATATACTTAGAATATATATAAATACAAAATATTATATAGTATTTTATAATTAGTGTATAATTTGTATTAACATTTATAATGTAAAAGTCATAATAAATTTATTTGCTTTATTTGTTCTTAAATATATATTATAAAATCAATACTTTTAAAAAGAAATATACACTCACCTGCCAAAAGTATCCGGACAAAATGTAGATCATGTAAATTTCCGTGACATTTCTGGGTGTTTTACAC